ATTTTAATGAGTTTTGACTTCACGTCAGGCTTTGAATTGCAGTCCCTTTTGATCTTATCTCTCACTACTGGCGGCAAGTCTTTGGCTATGAATGCGATAATCAATTCCATGATATACTCGTCGGTCAACACCTCGTCATCCATTCGTATCTCAGACAACATATCGATGATCACAGCTTTACCTACCGGTGCCTTCTTTAGCATTTGCACAGCAATGAGTGCGCCATAAAAGTGGCCGAAAATATCGTAATCACCCTTTGGGTGAAGTGTCTTCAAAATATCCGTATAATAAAGACTCAGCTCTTTGACGGACATCTTCTCCAGATTCTTAGTCCAATTGAGACCAATGACTGGTCTGTCAATCATAGCGGCCAACGCTTCTAACGACGAGAATATACCCTCGAGAGGGGGCAAGAAATAGATGGGTTTTCCGGTTTTCACTGAATTTAATTTCGTATAGCTTTCAGTGGGTATTAAAAACTTAATTTTGCTTAACTTTGAGCGACAGTCTCGAAACTCTTCGGTAAGCATTTTCAATTCATTGGTCTTTCCCGCCTCAAAGTCTTTAATCATTTTTACGGTCACATTCTTGATGTCATTTAACGACACTTTGATGTCGTAATCCCTTTCCAATCCCTGCTGCAGCTCTACAGCAAACATAGACTCCATTCCTATTTCACCTAAAGTTAAGTGATTTGGTGTTGTCTTCGGGTCGATACCCAACGCCTGCCATATCTGCGCCACTATTCGTGACTCACGAGATCCCGATTGAGTCTGACGTTTGGCTCTCACCTGAAAATTACAAAAAAGTAACATTTTTATCATTTTTAACTCAAAATTTTCATTTTTCTATATACAAGTAATTACTGCATTACTGGACTATAATTAGTACTTACAATACAAGACACAACTGAATGCTGTGTTTGCAGTAATTTATCCAAAATATCTAAACAAGAGCTGATTCTCTGTTTCACAATCCCAGCCAAAGGACTCATGACATCTGAATCGGCCAGTACTCCGACATCACCGATAGGTCCCCATTGAATGGCCAAACCGTGTAATCCATCCCTACGTCTGGACTCACAGATGTGTTCGCAGACAGAGTTAGCGAAACCATAGTTGGATTGTCCGGCGTTTCCTT